ATCCTGATTCCAGGCATTCCCAGCTTCATTCCAACTCCCTCTGGAGAAGGAGAAGCAATGAGGAAGAGCACCAGGTGCTCAGATCCTCTCCAGGGGCTCAGTTCCCAAACCCATGGCTTTGTGAAAACAGGACTGAAGTGATGGTGATTGCCAAGGAGATGCCACGAAATTTGCACTCCTTGGGATGTATTTGTGCTTCCCTGAGAAGCCTGAAGCACCAAGAAATCAGATTTTAGCCCGTGAGTCCATTATTAGCACTAAAAAGGACTTGGTGCTAAACCCTGACCTGGTGGTTTGCAAGCACAGCCAAGAAAGGTCATTTTTTGCTGAAGATTTCGTGAGGAGCAGGGACATTTGGGCAGAGAAAGTTGAGGTGAATGGAGCTGACCATGTATAATTAAAATCCTGCAGGCAGTAGTTAGGCTGAGCAGGAGGGTATCCATGTCATCCCAGCTTTTCTCGTGCAGATCCCGTGCCTTTTAACAATGAATCAGCACTATTGCCACATGATTGCCCCGAAATTAGGAGGGATTAACCTTTTTTTTTTTTGAGATGAACATCTGTCCCCTTATGTGTCTGGGCAAGGCATATTCATTACTTTTGCAGCTCGTGTTACCAGACATTCTTTTAGGAAGAAATGCAAAGCCATGGAGCTGTGAGGTGTGGGAAAAGTGAGGGTTTGGTGGAAGAGAACACACCTTATTAAGGGCTGAGTTGTAGCCTAAAAATGATTCTTTACAACTGGGATTTTTTTTTTTTTCACAGAAAAAAAAAGGAGAAATAATATTAAATAATAATAATTAGAAAAAAAACCCCAAACAGTTAACGCCTCCTCATTCTTGCCTGTGGGCCTGAAGGGAGAAATCTTTGGTCAGCTCATCCTCTCCCCAGCTCACAACCTCCCCAGTGCACGAGTCACCCCCCCAATTCTGCTGCCACAGGTTCAGATTCTAACTTTGCTCTGCAGCAGACTTAAGGAGGAATTAAGCTTTTATTGTTTTAGGCACGGTGCAAGAGTGAGACCCCATGTTTCTATAGCAACCAAATACAAAAGGAACTCGAGCAAACACCCTGCTCTAATGCTGCAGAGCCTTGCAGATCTAAAATAAGGCAGCTGTTAATGAGCTCTGAATTAGAGCCTTAATATCTTTCCAGTACAGTAGAAGAGAGATTTTTAATTCCCATTGTTCGAGACAATGTCTCCAACTTATCTAAAGCATCAAAGTGGAGACATCCAGAGCTGACTTGCCAGCGATTTTTTTTTTGCCTCCATTGTAAAAGCAAGTTTGTTAAATGTCACAATCGTATTTTTACCGTCCCAGCTCGCTGATAGCAATCAGTTTGGGGAAATAAAGGCGAGCAGGGGACAGTTTCTAGGTTACTGCATTCTCCAAAGTCGCAGCTCTCTCTCTCTCCTCCTCTTGGAATGGGCAGATGTTTGGCAGAACAATGGTTCAGGCCAATTTGCACGGATTTTTATCAACTTCCTAAAAAGCGAGGGGTTTAACACCAAAGTAGGGCTGGGATTGGAGAGGGGAGGGAGGTACATGCAAGCAGGGAAAATAATAATAATAACAACAATAATAATAATAATCAAAAGTACATGGAACTCATTTAGGAGCTGGGGGAGGAGGAGAGAGGCTGGATTTTTGCATCCTCACACACCGGCTCCCTGCCCCGGCTCCTGAAGGAGATTCCTTCTCCAGCTCTGCA